GTTGTGTCCCAGTTGAGAGAACAAGCGGCCATGATGCTGGTGATGCGCGGGGTCGTGTCCCAGCTGAGAGAACAAGGGGCCATGATGCTGGTGATGCGCGGGGTCGTGTCCCAGTTGAGAGAACAAGGGGCCACTCCCAGTTGAGAGAACAAGGGGCCATGATGCTGGTGATGCGCGGGTCGTGTCCCAGTTGAGAGAACAAGGGGCCAGTCCCAGTTGAGAGAACAAGGGGCCATGATGCTGGTGATGCGCGGGGTCGTGTCCCAGTTGAGAGAACAAGGGGCCATGATGCTGGTGATGCACGGGGTCGTGTCCCAGTTGAAAGAACAAGGGGCCATGATGCTGGTGATGCGTGGGGTCGTGTCCCAGTTGAGAGAACAGGGGGCCATGATGCTGGTGATGTGCGGGGTCGTGTCCCAGTTGAGAGAACAAGGGGCCATGATGCTGGTGATGCGCCGGGTTGTGTCCCAGTTGAAAGAACAAGGGGCCATGATGCTGGTGATGCGTGGGGTTGTGTGTCCCAGTTGAGAGAACAAGGGGCCATGATGCTGGTGATGCGCGCGGTCGTGTCCCAGTTGAGAGAACAGGGGGCCATGATGCTGGTGATGCGCGGGGTCGTGTCCCAGTTGAGAGAACAAGGGGCCATGATGCTGGTGATGCGCGGGGTTGTGTCCCAGTTGAAAGAACAAGGGGCCATGATGCTGGTGATGCGTGGGGTTGTGTGTCCCAGTTGAGAGAACAAGGGGCCATGATGTTGGTGATGCGCGGGGTTGCGTCCCCGTCAACACTTCCAGTTGAAAGAACAAGGGGCCATGATGATGGTGATGTCCCAGTTGAGAGAACAAGGGGCCATGATGTTGGTGATGCGCGGGGTCGTGTCCCAGTTGAGAGAACAAGGGCCATGATGCTGGTGATGCACGGGGTTGTGTCCCAGTTGAAAGAACAAGGGGCCATGATGCTGGTGATGCGTGGGGTCGTGTCCCACTTGAGAGAACAAGGGGCCATGATGCTGGTGATGCGCGGGGTCGTGTGCCAGTTGAGAGAACAAGGGGCCATGATGCTGGTGATGCGCGGGGTTGTGTCCCAGTTGAAAGAACAAGGGGCCATGATGCTGGTGAGTTTTTGATGCGTGGGGTGGGTCCCTAGTTTGATTGAGAAAACAGGGGGCATGCATGTGGTGAGCAAGGGGGTATCGTTGTTTTCCCGCTCCGTCTTTCCTGTCCTCCGCCCCCTTCTCCCAATGCACCTCTGGCCCCTACTTTTTCCAGCACTCCCAGTTGAGAGAACAAGGGGCCATGATGCTGGTGATGCGCGGGGTTGTGTCCCCGGGGTCGTGTCCCAGTTGAGAGAACAAGGGCCAGTCCCAGTTGAGAGAACAAGGGGGCATGATGCTGGTGATGTGCGGGGTCGTGTCCCAGTTGATAGAACAAGGGGCCATGATGCTGGTGATGCGCGGGGTCGTGTCCCAGTTGAGAGAACAAGGGGCCATGATGCTGGTGATGCGCGGGGTTGTGTCCCAGTTGAAAGAACAAGGGGCCATGATGCTGGTGATGCGCGGGGTCGTGTCCCAGTTGAGAGAACAAGCCATGATGCTGGTGATGCGCGGGGTTGTGTCCCAGTTGAAAGAACAAGGGGCCATGATGCTGGTGATGCGCGGGGTCAACTGGGGCCATGATGATGGTGAGGTCCCAGTTGAGAGAACAAGGGGCCATGATGCTGGTGATGCGCGGGGTTGCGAACAATTCCAGTTGAGAGAACAAGGGGCCATGATGCTGGTGTGTCCCAGTTGAGAGAACAAGGGGCCATGATGCTGGTGATGCGCGGGGTCCCAGTTGAGAGAACAAGGGGCCATGAAGCTGGTGATGCGCGGGGTCGTGTCCCAGTTGAGAGAACAAGGGGCCATGATGCTGGTGATGCGCGGGGTCTGTGTCCCAGTTGAGAGAACAAGGGGCCATGATGCTGGTGATGCGTGGGGTTGTGCCCCGGTCAACAATTCCAGTTGAGAGAACAAGGGGCCATGATGCTGGTGATGCGCGTGGTTGTGTCCCAGTTGAAAAAACAAGGGGCCATGATGCTGGTGATGCGTGGGGTTGTGTCCCAGTTGAAAGAACAAGGGGCAATGATGCTGGTGATGCATGGGGTTGTGTCCCAGTTCAGAGAACAAGGGGCCATGATGCTGGTGACGCGTGGGGTTGTGTCCCGGTCAACAATTCCACTTGAGAGAAAAGGGGGCCACGATGCTGGTGATGCGTGGGGTTGTGTCCCAGTTTCAAGAACGAGGGGCCATGATGCTGGTGATGCGCGGGGTTGTGTCCCAGTTGAGAGAATGCTGGTGATGCGAGGGGTTGTGTCCCGTCAACAATTCCAGTTGACAGAACAAGGGGCCAAGATGCTGGTGATGCGCGGGAAGAATAAGGGGCCATGATAGAACAAGGGGCCATGATGCTGGTGATGCGTGGGGTTGTGTCCCGGTCAACAATTCCAGTTGAGAGAACAAGGGGCCATGATGCTGGTGATGCATGGGGTCGTGTCCCAGTTGAGAGAACAAGGGGCCATGATGCTGGTGATGCGTGGGGTTGTGTCCCGGTCAACAATTCCAGTTGAGAGAACAAGGTGATGCACGGGGTTGTGCCCCAATTGAAAGAACAAGGGGCCATGATGCTGGTGATGCGTGGGGTTGTGTCCCATCTGAGAGAACAAGGGGCCATGATGCTGGTGATGCGTGGGGTTGTGTCCCGGTCAACAATTCCAGTTGAGAGAAAAAGGGGCCATGATGCTGGTGATGCGTGGGGTTGTGTCCCAGTTGAAAGAACAAGGGGCCATGATGCTGGTGATGCGCGGGGTCGTGTCCCAGTTGAGAGAACAAGGGGCCATGATGCTGGTGATGCGCGGGGTCGTGTCCCAATTGAGAGAACAAGGGGCCATGATGCTGGTGATGCGCGGGGTCCCAGTTGAGAGAACAAGGGGCCATGATGCTGGTGATGCGCGGGGTCGTGTCCCAGTTGAGAGAACAAGGGCCAGTCCCAGTTGAGAGAACAAGGGGGCATGATGCTGGTGATGCGCGGGGTCGTGTCCCAGTTGAGAGAACAAGGGGCCATGATGCTGGTGATGCGCGGGGTTGTGTCCCAGTTGAGAGAACAAGCGGCCATGATGCTGGTGATGCGCGGGGTCGTGTCCCAGCTGAGAGAACAAGGGGCCATGATGCTGGTGATGCGCGGGGTCGTGTCCCAGTTGAGAGAACAAGGGGCCACTCCCAGTTGAGAGAACAAGGGGCCATGATGCTGGTGATGCGCGGGTCGTGTCCCAGTTGAGAGAACAAGGGGCCAGTCCCAGTTGAGAGAACAAGGGGCCATGATGCTGGTGATGCGCGGGGTCGTGTCCCAGTTGAGAGAACAAGGGGCCATGATGCTGGTGATGCACGGGGTCGTGTCCCAGTTGAAAGAACAAGGGGCCATGATGCTGGTGATGCGTGGGGTCGTGTCCCAGTTGAGAGAACAGGGGGCCATGATGCTGGTGATGTGCGGGGTCGTGTCCCAGTTGAGAGAACAAGGGGCCATGATGCTGGTGATGCGCCGGGTTGTGTCCCAGTTGAAAGAACAAGGGGCCATGATGCTGGTGATGCGTGGGGTTGTGTGTCCCAGTTGAGAGAACAAGGGGCCATGATGCTGGTGATGCGCGCGGTCGTGTCCCAGTTGAGAGAACAGGGGGCCATGATGCTGGTGATGCGCGGGGTCGTGTCCCAGTTGAGAGAACAAGGGGCCATGATGCTGGTGATGCGCCGGGTTGTGTCCCAGTTGAAAGAACAAGGGGCCATGATGCTGGTGATGCGTGGGGTTGTGTGTCCCAGTTGAGAGAACAAGGGGCCATGATGTTGGTGATGCGCGGGGTTGCGTCCCCGTCAACACTTCCAGTTGAAAGAACAAGGGGCCATGATGATGGTGATGTCCCAGTTGAGAGAACAAGGGGCCATGATGCTGGTGATGCGCGGGGTCGTGTCCCAGTTGAGAGAACAAGGGCCATGATGCTGGTGATGCACGGGGTTGTGTCCCAGTTGAAAGAACAAGGGGCCATGATGCTGGTGATGCGTGGGGTCGTGTCCCACTTGAGAGAACAAGGGGCCATGATGCTGGTGATGCGCGGGGTCGTGTGCCAGTTGAGAGAACAAGGGGCCATGATGCTGGTGATGCGCGGGGTTGTGTCACAGGTGAAAGAACAAGGGGCCATGATGCTGGTGATGCGTGGGGTTGTGTCCCAGTTGAGAGAACAAGGGGCCATGATGCTGGTGATGCAAGGGGTCGTGTCCCAGTTGAGAGAACAAGGGGCCATGATGCTGGTGATGCGCGGGGTTGTGTCCCCGGGGTCGTGTCCCAGTTGAGAGAACAAGGGCCAGTCCCAGTTGAGAGAACAAGGGGGCATGATGCTGGTGATGTGCGGGGTCGTGTCCCAGTTGATAGAACAAGGGGCCATGATGCTGGTGATGCGCGGGGTCGTGTCCCAGTTGAGAGAACAAGGGGCCATGATGCTGGTGATGCGCGGGGTTGTGTCCCAGTTGAAAGAACAAGGGGCCATGATGCTGGTGATGCGCGGGGTCGTGTCCCAGTTGAGAGAACAAGCCATGATGCTGGTGATGCGCGGGGTTGTGTCCCAGTTGAAAGAACAAGGGGCCATGATGCTGGTGATGCGCGGGGTCAACTGGGGCCATGATGATGGTGAGGTCCCAGTTGAGAGAACAAGGGGCCATGATGCTGGTGATGCGCGGGGTTGCGAACAATTCCAGTTGAGAGAACAAGGGGCCATGATGCTGGTGTGTCCCAGTTGAGAGAACAAGGGGCCATGATGCTGGTGATGCGCGGGGTCCCAGTTGAGAGAACAAGGGGCCATGAAGCTGGTGATGCGCGGGGTCGTGTCCCAGTTGAGAGAACAAGGGGCCATGATGCTGGTGATGCGCGGGGTCTGTGTCCCAGTTGAGAGAACAAGGGGCCATGATGCTGGTGATGCGTGGGGTTGTGCCCCGGTCAACAATTCCAGTTGAGAGAACAAGGGGCCATGATGCTGGTGATGCGCGTGGTTGTGTCCCAGTTGAAAAAACAAGGGGCCATGATGCTGGTGATGCGTGGGGTTGTGTCCCATCTGAGAGAACAAGGGGCCATGATGCTGGTGATGCGTGGGCTTGTGTCCCGGTCAACAATTCCAGTTGAGACAAAAAGGGGCCATGATGCTGGTGATGCGTGGGGTTGTGTCCCAGTTGAAAGAACAAGGGGCAATGATGCTGGTGATGCATGGGGTTGTGTCCCAGTTCAGAGAACAAGGGGCCATGATGCTGGTGACGCGTGGGGTTGTGTCCCGGTCAACAATTCCACTTGAGAGAAAAGGGGGCCACGATGCTGGTGATGCGTGGGGTTGTGTCCCAGTTTCAAGAACGAGGGGCCATGATGCTGGTGATGCGCGGGGTTGTGTCCCAGTTGAGAGAATGCTGGTGATGCGAGGGGTTGTGTCCCGTCAACAATTCCAGTTGACAGAACAAGGGGCCAAGATGCTGGTGATGCGCGGGAAGAATAAGGGGCCATGATAGAACAAGGGGCCATGATGCTGGTGATGCGTGGGGTTGTGTCCCGGTCAACAATTCCAGTTGAGAGAACAAGGGGCCATGATGCTGGTGATGCATGGGGTCGTGTCCCAGTTGAGAGAACAAGGGGCCATGATGCTGGTGATGCGTGGGGTTGTGTCCCGGTCAACAATTCCAGTTGAGAGAACAAGGTGATGCACGGGGTTGTGCCCCAATTGAAAGAACAAGGGGCCATGATGCTGGTGATGCGTGGGGTTGTGTCCCATCTGAGAGAACAAGGGGCCATGATGCTGGTGATGCGTGGGGTTGTGTCCCGGTCAACAATTCCAGTTGAGAGAAAAAGGGGCCATGATGCTGGTGATGCGTGGGGTTGTGTCCCAGTTGAAAGAACAAGGGGCAATGATGCTGGTGATGCATGGGGTTGTGTCCCAGTTGAGAGAACAAGGGGCCATGATGCTGGTGATGCGCGGGGTTGTGTCCCAGTTGAGAGAACAAGGGACCATGATGCTGGTGATGTGTGGGGTTGCGTTCCCGTCAACAATTCCAGTTGAGAGAACAAGGGGCCATGATGCTGGTGATGCGCGGTCCCAGTTGAGAGAACAAGGGGCCATGATTCTGATGATGCATGGGGTTGTATACCGGTTGAGAGAACAAGGAAGGGGCCATGATGCTGGTGATGCGTGGGGTTGTGTCCCAGTTGAGAGAACAAGGGGCCATGATGCTGGTGATGCGTGGGGTTGTGTCCCAGTTGAGAGAACAAGGGGCCATGATGCTGGTGATGCGTGGGGTTGTGTCCCCTCAACAATGGCAGTTGAGAGAACAAGGGGCCATGACGCTGGTGATGCGCGGGGTTGTGTCCCCGTCAACAATTCCAGTTGAGAGAACAAGGGGCCATGATGCTGGTGATGCGAGGGGTTGCGTCCCCGTCAACAATGGCAGTTGAGTAACAAGTAAGGCTGTGCGAACAACATGAGAACCGGGGGCCATGATGCTGGTGATGCGTCGGGTTGCGTCCTCGTCAACACGTGTGGCTGCGAGATCAAGGGGCCATGATGGTGGTGATGAGTGCTGTTGTGTTCCCGACAACAAGTACAGCTCACAGAACCAGGGCCATGATGCTCGTGATGCATAGAGGTTGACGGATCAAGGGACCATGATGCTGGTGATGCGTGCGGTTTCGTTGTTGCCGGGAGCTTAGCATGAGAGATCAAGGGGCTATGATGTGGTGATGCGCCAGGTTTCGTGTTTGTCGGGAGGGAAGCATGATGCTGGTGATATGTGAGTCGGTGTCGAAATTGCTTGTTTAAGCCGTGCTTGCTTTCGAATTAGCACGTCCCCTATCGTTTTCCATGCTTTTCACACACCGCACTTTTAACATTGTAGCGCTTCCCCTATCGATCCTCGGCGTTTTGCTGCAACAACTACCCCCTCTACCGCATCTCATGTGGGGTTTGTGATGCCAGTGATGCGTGGGTTCCGCGTCGTCGGAGAGTTCAGCTTGGGAAAATACCATGATCCCGGGGGTGATTTGTGAGGTAGTTTAGCGCTTTCAGGGCCCTCAACCCTAAACCCTAAACCCTAAACCTCAAACCCTAAACCCTAAACCCTAAACCCTAAACCCTAAACCCTAAACCCTACAAGCAGAGCCGTCTCTGAGCTTCGGGCCCCAGCACATGGCGGCCGAGGGCACCGCGTGGAGCATTCGCGGCATGACTCCCGTATAGAAAGCCAACCTCCCAGCTCAGTGGTTTGGGGTTCGGGGTTTGGGGGTTTAGGGCTTAGGGTTTACGGTTTAGTCGTGAGGGGGGTTTAGGGTTTAGGGTTGAGGGCTTAGGGCTTAGGGCTTAGGGTTTGGGGTTGCCGAGGACGAGCGAGAGCCCCTACACCCTTAGTGGCCGTGCTCTAGGGTCGTGGGTAGAAAGTATTGAAGCCTCATGGCTTCTAGGGCTCCGGGCTTGGGGCCAAAGCTTTCCATTTTGGATTTGGATCGAGGGCTTCGGGTGGAGAGTTTGGAAGTGGGAGTTGAGGGCACACTGAAAAGGAAGCCGTCCCGGCTTGGGCTCAGGGATTGCGACCTAGGCGGAGTACAAGGTAGGGGATAGGTCTTGGGCCAAGCTTCGTACAGGCACGCGAACTTTCCAGCACCCTAGCACTCAACCCGACGCAGGGCTTGTGCCGTCACCCCTCCGGCATGAAAACTTGACCTAGGATCGGCTTCAACCCCAACAGATGTGTCAGGCTTGAGGATTTGGGGCTTAAGATTCGAGCTGCACCCAGAAACTAAGAGGAAGGTAAGAGGGGGGTAAGAGGGGTTTATGAAGGGGGTAAGAAGGGTGCCTGAACCCTAAACCCTAAACCCTAAACCCTGAACCCTGAACCCTGAACCCTGAACCCTAAACCCTAACCCTAAACCCCAAGAGGGGATTCAGAAGGGGGTCCATAAACCTGAAGCCTAAACACTTCTCCCGCCAGGGCCCCGGGCCAACCCTCCTCGCGAACGATTGTTCGGACAGCCTCCAGGAAGCCAGAATACCTCAGGGCTTGAAAAGCGTTTAGGGCTTAGGGTTTAGGGTTTAGGGCTTAGGGCTTAGGGCTTAGGGCTTAGGGTTTAGGGTTTAGGGTTTAGGGTTTAGGGTTTAGGGCTTAGGGCTTAGGGTTGAGAGCTTAGGGTTTAGGGCTCAGGGTTTAGGGTTTAGGGCTTAGGGCTCAGGGTTTAGGGCTTAGGGTTTCGAAGTAGGTACCCCCTAGATAGCCCTTTAAGGGGCTATACAAGGAACCAGCTTACCAAATTCCCTACGAAGACCAGTAATCACAGAGGGTGCATGGTCAATAAGCCTTCTTGAAACGTTCATTGGTAGCCATCAGCTGAGTGACCAGGACCCTAAACCCTGCTGTAGCCGCGCCGGGGGCCGCGCTTGGGTTGCCTGAAGGCATCCGCCAAGCCACCTCTGCTGTTCAAGATGTGGAGATGGAGCGTTGAGGGTTTAAGGTTTCGGTGAGGCTTTCGGGCTTAGGGTTTAGGGTTTTGAGTTTAGGGTTTAGAGTTATAGTCTAGAGCATGTGAACTCTGCGGTAGGCTTTGGGCTTAGAGGATTTAGGGCTTAGAGGGTTTTGGTAGAGAACTTGAGTTTACAGGGTTCAGGGGCTCCAGGGGCGGGGGGGAGGGGTGGGGGTGGGTGGCTGTTTGGGACGCCTCGACTCCCCCCCTCCTCCGCCTTTCAATCTATCAGCTCTAGCACCCGTTTGGGACTCTAGTGAAGCTGTGGGGGTGAGAGAGAGAGAGAGAGGAGCTTCTGTGGCCCCCCACATGGCGCGGAGGGCGCAGCCGCAGTCGGTCCTCAAAAGGGATGAAGTGGGCATTTTGAGGGTCGTCCCCTACCCTGATATCCAACCGCCCCGTGAAAGGCAAGGGAGGCTTAGCTTCAGTTGCGCTGAGCTTGGTAAGGGTTGCACTGCCTTCAGGAGCCCCCCCTTGTTTTCACATGCCCGAGACCTGATAGCGAAGATGGACGCAAGACACTCCATCTCTACACGACCCTTAGCTCTCAAACACCGACTGCCTGTAAGGATCGGCTTCATCCCCAAAGCCTAAACCCGGGTTTTGTGTCTTGGGGTGTTGGGATGTAGGGTTTAGTTTGGATGCTGGACTCGTCCCTTTGCAGGCCATGGGCCTGTGGGTACATTCCCCACGTGCTTCAGCAGGGAGGGGCTGTGAACGATAACGGTGGGCCCAGTTTTCGCTACAGCTACCCTACTTGTAACCCACACATACAACTACCTGTAAGCCCCAAGCCCCAAACCAGCCTTGACCTCCAACAATTCTACCGAGGGCCTGCACCCAATGTCAGCAAGGCTCCTCGAAAATCCTAGGCCTCTCCCCCCAATCTCAACTGACATCCTAATCCCACAGCCCCGATACATTGAAGTCATACCCTGAAGGGTTTAGGGTTTAGGGTTTAGGGTGTAGGGTTTAGGGTGTAGGGTGTAGGGTGTAGGGTTTAGGGTTTAGGGTTTAGGGTTTAGGGTTTAGGGTTTAGGGGAAAGGGTTTAGGGTTTAGGGTTTAGGGTTTAGGGTTTAGGGTTTAGGGTTTAAAGTCAAATGCCGCCGAGCTGCGACTGGCACACGCGCCCCCCTCGGCCGAAGGCCTGTGCGAAATGGGCAGCAGTTCCTTTTGCTCCAAACCCCCAGGCTATATAGGTTGGCCCTAAAAGGTCCCCAATGGGGTATACTCATGAATAAGACCCTCTAAAGC